GAGGTCTCTTCCTCCCCAAAACAAATGGACCCAGTGATTTTAAAGGGTATAACCACTGAATAAAGCAGTTTCACATAATAAAAAAAAATCTGTGTTTTTGCCATGGAAAGGCTGCTAACTACCGTGGCCGACACAAAAACGAGAATGGCCTCATCTAGAGCCAGTAAATGTCACATAAACATCCTCTATGTCCACTGTGGGCTCCTGTAGAAACAAGTGGATGCAACATGGTGATCCCGTGGACAAGGACCCACTTCTTATGTAGATTTAAACAGCTCATTCTGATGCGATGTGATTAGTTTTGCAGGTAACCAAAGAATTTAATCTGATGACCTGACAATAATAGATGAAAAGTGAAGGGATCATCAGAGTTATTATAATTCATGCTGAAGGTGATCCTAAATGTCTGCAGCTACGTTCATGTGCTGCTGCTCTAATAAAATCCAGACTGGTATAGGTTATATGCATGCTACCAAGTTTGCTCTGAAGTTTCTCCAGCAGTGTGCACTTTTCAGATCCACCGACTGCTGACTCAGCGCCTTTATAAAGAAGCAGTAGGTGCTTTGATCCCAGATTAGTAAGAGGAACTGGGGATGAGGCAAAGAGGGAGAGGGAGAGGGGAGATGGTGAGGGAAGTCAGAAGACTTAGGTGTTCCTGTTTAATGCTGTGTTCAACTGGGAACTGGAAAATTTCCAACCTTCTACTCACAAAGGAACAATGGAACGCCACTCCAAGTTTGAGTTCCTACTTGTAAACCCGGGGGAAATCCACCTACGCTGATTTCTGATGAAGTCGGAAGAACAACTTCCCAGCTTGAGAAATGGAGGGACACATGATTGCAGCATGGTATGCTGATGTTCAGCAGGTATAATGTTTATGTACATCATCGCAGTTTAGCGTGTTAGCATGCTAACATCTGAAAAATTAGCACCAAACACAAAGTGTAGCTGAGGCTGATGGGAATGCCATTAATTTTATAGATATTTGGCCATAAAACAAACTATGCATTCATCCATTTTCATCCACTTATACAGGGCCGGGTTGTGGGGGCAGCAGGCAAAGCAAAGCACCCCAGACGTCCCTCTCCCTTGCAACACTTTCCAGCTCCTCCTGGGGGACCCCAAGGTGTTCCCAGGCCAGATGAGATATGTAATCCCTCCAGTGTGTTCTGGGTCTGCCCCGGGGCCTCCTATCTGTGGGACGTGCCCAGAACACCTCTAACGGGAGGCGCCCAGGAGGAACCTGATCAGATGCCTGAACCAGAGTGTGGATACCCGACGGGACTCATCAGAACTTGACGGGTTGGGCCAGGTTTGGCTAACAAATCAGAAATTTTGCTAAGGTTTGGTTCAGGTTCGGCCCTCTTGACCTGCTGCTATGCTGTGCTATGGCCTATTCAAGTACCATAGTATTCATTATAACCATAATAACAATAACTATGTCAGGTAACAAACTGCATCGGGCCCGGGTCGGGTTCGGACGTAAAAATCAGAAAGATTGTCAGGGTCGGGCCAGACTCGGTTATAACTGTCTTGGGCTCGGGTTGGGTTCGGTCGGGAAAATGCGGTCCAAGCTGCACTCTAGCCCAAACCACCTCAACTGGCCCCTTCGACACAAAGGAGCGACAGCTCTACTCCGAGCTCCCTCCGGATGTCCAAGCTCCTCACCCTATCTCTAAGGCTGAGCCCAGACACCCCACGGAGAAAGCTCATTTTGGCCGCTTGTATCCATGATCTCATTCTTTCAGTCACTACCCAGAGCTCATGACCATAGGTGAGGGTTAGCAGGTAGGTGGACCAGTAAATCGAAAGATTCGCCTTCCGGCTCAGCTCCTTCTTAACCGCGAAAAATAAAAAACAAAACCATAAAATAAACTATTGGACAGATATGGTGATGGCACTGGATGAAATGTTAGGGAGGATCAACAAAGTTATTGCAGCTCATCCAGAAATGTCTATACTACATTTTGAGGCAATCATTTGGGAACCATGAAGGTACATTTCACGGCAATCCTTAAGTTGTTGAAATATTTTGGTCTGGACCAAAGCGGGGGACCAACCAACCGACATCACCCTCCTTTGTGAGGCTAAAAAAGCAAATGTTTTAACACAACAAACCGCTGCAACAGCTGATAAAGTCCGTATCGCCCCTCTGAGACTCAGCCGTATCAGTGAACTGATGGTGGTTCAGTCAAAGACACCTCTGCTGAGAGTGGATGAGATCATCTCCATTCATGGCCTGAGCCGCAGCCTTTTTAAAGCCGGGATCGGAAGGAACAATGGTGCTCTATGAAATCCTGCAGTGAAATCCCAAGCAGGCGCTCTTTCTCCAAGCTTTCCCATTTCCTGTGAATTAATAATAGCCTTGCTGGGGAAATGGATGCACTTAAGATACCCTCATTTAACAGCGGCATGGGAAAGTAGATACCCGAGGATGTGTTAAAGGTTTCTTTAAAGTGTGTTTTGAACCAAGCAATTCGTTTCACTGAGTAATGCTTTTACATTAAATAGATTTCACAGCTTGTGCAGCAGTAAAAACAGAATGATCTGACATACTGTATCAGAGGTGTGAATCTGACTGTGGGAGCATCTCTGAGGAGCAGTAACTGAAGACACTGTGGGCGTTTGCTTATTCACTGCTCGAGTTAACACACTCAAGAGTATAAAAATACCTTCATCACACTCCTCTGATCAGTATGTGGCTGAAAAATGTCAGAAACAAAGAATTATTTTGTCTTCAATTACTGAAAATGCAAAAAATAACAGAACAAGAGTGATCATAGTTACCAGCACAGCAAACTAACATAATTTTCATCTGGAGAGGCTGAAAACATTTTATTTTTGCTGTTTCAGTGGAAGACATTAAAAAACAAGTGACTATAAGGAGGACACATCTGTCACATGTGGGCTGCTTCATACCTACACTGCATGAGATTATTGCACGTGTTGTATTCATTCAAATGAGATGGAGCGTGACGTCAGCGCTCTACTCATTCTCATGCAGAGGGATGAGCACGTGTTGCTTTCAGGAGCTGTCGGAAATGTGAGAGTTCTGTGCAAAACGATACTGTGCAGCTTTTAAATGAAGGAATTTGCTGTGATCGGGGTGAAACGTAACAAGGTACATTTACTCAGTAACTGTACTTAAGTACAAGCTTGAGACTCTTGTAATTTACTTAAAAACATACATTTTATTCTACTTTATGGGCTATCACTACACCTCAGAAGGAAATAATGTTCTTTTTATTCAAGTATATATTGACATCTGTAGCTACCAGTTACTTTAAAGATTAAGATTTTTAAAATATGATTAATGTATACAATATCATGTAATTTTGTCCAAGTAGTCAAATTAGCCTGACCTCAATCAGCTACCTCATTAAAACGCTGTGTATGTGATAATGCATAATCATATTCTATATACAATATTATAGCACTCTGACTGGGTCTGCTCTAAGAATACGCAGGTCTTCACTTACTTAGAGTACATTTCACTGTTAATACTTGTCGGGGGTGGTTTGATTGACTAAATGCCAATGCATTATATTTTATATGCTTATACGTTTTTTAAGATCTTCATCTGCAGAGTAACAAGTAACTATCACTGTTAGCAGTGGTAGAGAGAAACATTTACTAAATTCAAAGAACCACCTTATTCCAGGGGTCAAGGACTTCTGAGCTGAGAGAGAGATGGAGCAGGGACTCCTTATGACAGGTAAAGTATAAAATTCATTCATTCATTCATTTCCGTATCCTCTTGAGGGTCACTGGGGGGCTGGAGCCTATCCCAGCTGACACAGGGCGAGAGGCAGGGTACACCCTGGACAGGTCACCAGACTATCACAGGGCTGACACATAGAGACAGACAACCATTCACACTCATATTCACACCTACGGACAATTTAGAGTCACCAGTTAACCTGCATGTCTTTGGACTGTGGGAGGAAGCTGGAGCACCTGGAGAAAACCCACGCTGACACAGGGAGAGCATGTAAACTCTGCACAGAAGTGAACCCTTTTGCTGTGAGGCGACAGTGCAACTACTGTGCCGCACGTATAAAATTGCGTTGCATATTAAAGCAGGCAGATGGAGGTTGTCAGCAAAAGGCCATATCGGTCCGTCTTTACAGGGAGGAAACTTTTCTTTTGCCTTTTTGCAACAACTTATCTTTGTGAAAGTTGTAATATGTTGGATTCATGTTAATGTGCATTGTCAGACATAATTTAATGTTTGTTTTGACAAAAAAAGCTTGCAAAGAACTGTCTAAAAATAATTTGCAGAAACTCCAAGTTGGAGACCTGTTGAAGACCCAGGCCTCAGTGGGAATAATTAAGAAGTTCCCTCTTAAAATCATACCTATTATTCAAAAGTGGATGTCAGGCTCACATGGATGGGTTACTGAACAAGCCCTCTGGTCACAAGCTCAGGGGCCCCCAAGCCTTAACTTGCAAAATGTCATACCAACCATGAAGAGACACAAAACAACTACCAAGTGACGACCAAAAGAGACATGAAATTACCTAAATAACACACAAAATTACCACAGAGACAAAAAATGAGCGACATAACGACCAATAAAGACATGAAATTACCTCAGAGGAACACAAACAACTACAAAGAGACACAAAACCAACACAAAGTCTGTGCATTTTGCTCCTGTGTAGGAGAGGTGATGGGGCCCTTTGCATATCTGTGCCCAGGGGCCTACTGTCTCATAATCCGCCCATGCATGCTCAATGGTAACATCATAATCTAATTTTCTTAACCTGTCCTCATGTGACACCTCTTGGAGTAAAGAGTGCACATTTCTTTTTTAAATAGTGGAGTGTATTAAGTATGAAATAGAATTAAAAAAACAGTTGAAAATGTGAAGTTACAGGCTACAAGCTGTATTTCGGCCGTGGCATGTTAAAAATCCGAGTTTCTCCGGAGCACGTGAACGCAGCAGAGGCTCCAGTACTGGCTGCGGGAGCTCGTGATGATCAGAGCGGGACTGAGAGAGTCAGTGAGCCGCTGCACGAGCAGGAGACAGCGGGAGGACCTGATCACTGTATCGGATACTTAAACATCTCTGCTTTACTCTTCACCCGGGACATGAAACCCGTGTTTTAACCGCGTTTACACTGCACTCTCCAGCCCAAGATGACGGTGGATTTCGAAGAATGTATTAAAGATTCACCCCGGTTTAGGTAAGAACATGAAACTCAGCAACCTCCTCCTGATTTGATCCTTTGAACTGTTGAACGCCACATTTCTCACATGAGACCAATATCTGGTGTTTTTTTTTACATTAATTATCCCGGACAGTGAATGCAACTGTTTCCATGCGTCTCATGTGTCATGTTGCATGTTGGACTTTAATGCCATGATGAAACGGTGTCTGGGTCACAGTCACAGTTTTGGACCATCAGTGTGATGCGTGTGTTCACAGCCTCCAGGTCAGTCATGTCTTACAGTGGGCATGATGATGAGCAATGCAGCCGTATGAGTTGTCACATGGGCTGAGTGGAGATCAAAGTCATCTGTTGGTTCTCACGTTGTCTGATTGTTTCATGCATTTCCTCTTTTGCTGCTATATATTTTATATCTGCATCATTTGAGAGTTAAGATGGTGTCCAGGAGGTCACTGTGATCAGAATACCACAGTCCTAATGTGGCATAAATACAGATAATGCATGGAGATGATTGACTTTCTTGTAAATGAGCTCCTGCCTAAATGATGGAGTTCAGACTGCAGCTGCAATCAATGATTATCCTTCATTATTGATCAGTCAGTTAATTGCCAGGTCTATAAATGTCACAGTCACAATGAAAAATTAACCTCATAAATTCCTAAAGCTCAACATGATGTCTTGTTTTGCCTAACCCCCCAAAATATTCAGTTTACTTGCACATAAGGGGAAAAAAAACTCCTTTACTTTTGCTTTAAATAAAAATTACTTCATTGCCTGATTGATGCATCAGCTCTAGTTCAAACCGTGTCACTCATCATTGGATCAGAGCAAACTGAAGGTTTCCCCCACTCAGCCTGCACCAAAGCCCCTGACCGCCGTGCACCAAGGGTTACATAAATAAGGCAGGAATTTTCTACACCCACATCTGAACCTGGTCCTCTGCTCCCAGCGAGACAAGAGACTCTCAGAGGGGATTTTTTTTTCATACTTGTGCAGCACTGGAAGACCTTAAGAGTAAAAATACCAATGTGACGTTGTCCTATCAGCACTGAAAACAATGAGCGGGTCTCATTTTAAGTTGCAAAACCTTATTTATCATGAGCTGAGATTCATTAATGTCTGTAGACCACACTTTTAGTAATGTTTGTAGTGATTTCAATAAAAAAAGGCACAAAAGTGATGGGATAAAATAACTTTAAATGTAAATAAACTGTATTATAGTCTTATATCTTACACTTTTTCAGCTGCATTTCTGTTTATACACAGTGAAGCAATATTTATTGCAGCCTTGAACCATTTTATGATAATATTTCAAGTGATTATCACTAATATTTGTACTATTTTGGGGCATTTTTCTGTATTTTTTTTTTTTTGGTGCCTGGCAACTTTGTGCTTTGTTAATTTGACTAAATGTTAAGTCAGACTTTTAGCTGAGCTTGTGCTGAAAAAAAGGAAACCATGCATGTGCAGTAAGGACCATTTAAAGGTGATAAACAAAGACTGGGTGCATAGGAAGTCTGCAAAAATTAAGCAGAATGAACCTGAACTATTACAGTATCAGATTATTAATTAGGGTGGCATGTTGGTGCAGTGGTTAGCATTGTGGCCTCACAGCAGTTTGCATGTTCTCCCCTTGTCAGCGTGGGTTTTCTCTGAGTACTCCAGCTTCCTCCCACAGTCCAAAGACATGCAGGTTAATTGGTGACTCTAAATTGTCCGTAGGTGTGAATGTGAGTGTGAATGGTTGTCTGTCTCTATGTGTCAGCCCTGTGATAGTCTGTCCAGGGTGTACCCCGCCTCTCGCCCATTGTCAGCTGGGATAGGCTCCAGCCCCCCTGTGACCCCCAACAGGATAAGTGGTTACAGAAAGAAATGATTATTAGATTTACACAGACGCATCAGTGTGGTAAAGCTTGTTTTTACTACTTCAGAATCAGATACATTTAGGTTCAGTCTGGTGGTTCCCTGTTTCTGGGTTCGGTGACTCCAAAGGGCCACATGATCAATGTGAGGGGTTGTGAGATGATTATTGATGAAAGAAGCATGAAAAAGCTTTTGGACTCTTCTTTTGTCTTTGCTGTTTTTGTGTATATATGGAATAATGTTTAGTACATTTAGAGGAAATTACTGGTTGGACCGACAACTCGGACATCTCGGTGAAGATTCTCAGTCATCCAGGTCATGGTCATCACAAGTGCTGTATCGTAGGCAACTGGACTTGCTTGAGTTTCTTGAAGATGTTTTTCGTCTCATCCAAGAGGCACCTTCCGTTCAGAACGACTCGGTGTTGGGGGCAAAATCCCTGCTGGAAAAGCAGCAACGTCTCATTGAAGAACATGCTCTTCTGTGCCACTATCCCCCAGGGTTTCACACTCATTCATTCATTTTCGGCCGCCCACCACATTGATTTTCCATAGCTGGGACTTGACCGTTCATTAGGAGTTCTATTGGAGTATATATACCATTTGGTTATTCATTGCACAGAGCGTACTCTGGGCACAGGCGGAGCAGCAGAACACCAGACACAGGTCTGAAACTTTACCTTCTCCTGCCTCGGCATCAGCTGCTCCTCTCATCCATCTATCTGATCTGATCAACTCTAATCGGATCGACTGATCAATTATCCACCCTGCGACTCAAACTCCAGAAACAGCTGCTGAGGAAATAAAGAACTCATGTAGACCTCCACCTGCACTGCGTTTACTGACTCACAAAAACCTCTAAGAATTTAGAGTGAATACAGAATGACGCAAAGGGACACATTCACAAGAAACAGCAAGTTTGCTAAAAAGCTGCAGGAAACACGGCAATGACTCGCTAAATCACAACCGGTGTTATTGTTTGTTGGTCTTGAACAGTTGTCTGCAGCCTGGCAGGCGTCACGTCCTCCACCATCCGCTCGATTTCTCAAAAAATTCAGCAACTTCACTTCAGAAATGCTGATATGATACGAATAAAACATGCAAATGTATTTGAGGATGCAGAAACGTATAATGCCAACAGACGACATGGCTGGTGTATGCCTCTGAAATGTAGTGGGTCACGTGAAATAGCAATGCTCAAGTAAGTGCCTAAAAAATGTACTTTGAGTAAGTATACTTTTGAGTATAAGTTTGAGTAACTTACTTACTCTTTTTTTCTTTAAGTATAAGACTTGCATTGAAAGAGATTTTACAGCAGTAAAAGGTCCCACCGAGATTGTTTGTTTTCTTGAACTCACACTCGTGACGCCTGTTATCGTCTCACAAAGTTGAGATAGTGAAAAAATGGCAGAAGAGGAGAAGACAATGAAACCATCTTGGTCAGAGGAGGAGAAGATTACACTTCTGGAGGAATACAATCATAGAAAGCGCCAACTACAAAGTAAATTTGATCCCCAAATACCAGGAAACGATTGTAGGAAGTAGCAATGAAAATGAATTCAGTCAAATCTAAGGTGTAAAATTAAAAGTGTGTCCATCAGGTTCTCCTGGTCCCAAGATACTTTTGTGTGTGGTAGTTTCCTTCATTTATCACCATGAACTCGGTGATGTTGCAGTTAAGACAGAGTCAGAGTTACCTTAAGGTTTTTCCCCTTGCTTTGGTTGCTAAGGTCTTTTGTGCAACTGTCTCAGGATTCCTTAAGTGTAAGACAAAGACAAGAATAAAACCATTAATTCTTAAGGGAACAATTTAAGGAAACCTTAAGGAGAAGACTTAAGGGTGTTTTGTGCAACCAATTTTATTTTGAGGGAACCTTAACTAGGACTTTAACTTAAGGTAAAAACTGGGAGTTTAAATCTCTGCTCTCTGAAGTAAATCAAAGACTTCCAGGTCTGGCACCTTAATGACAGCCATCTGGGCCGGAGAAAGGCACATCTCAGGCAGGAAGTGCTGAGTGAAGGGTATTTGCTCTAACCTTCTCCTTCACTGCTTCATATGCTAAGCAGCGAGGCTACAAGCTGCATGCTAAAGAGTCACCCACCTCATTAGTGAGAGCTCCGAGACACTGAATATTTCTTTTTGGTCGATAAAGTTATCTGTTCTTTGACTGGAGGTGTGAATGTGGAACGAAAATACACCCTATCCTCCTCTTTCTCCTCCTCGTATACTGCACTGTGTCGCCGGCCTGAGAGATGCTCCTTTACACTCCACGTTCAGTTATTGTGCACTCTCCTCCAGCTTATGTTAAGAGTCTTTTATGTGCTGCCCAGGGTGTTTAAACGACTAGAAGGGACGCTGAAAGAGGCAAAGTAGACGCATGTTCTTGTAGCCACTGGAGCCTGTAACAGTGTTTTTTCAGGGAGCATTCAAATGGTTTCCTTTGTGGAGCTAAAAGCGGCCCTGTGTTGTGTTATGTAACAACCCTGGAGGTGGATGACTGGAAGGAAGCAGCCGGCCCAGAGTACACGAAAATCAAGGCTTTTCGCTGTGAGGATTGGCATGACCACTCCGCTTCCCACATGTGTAAAATCACGCAGGAAATCAGTTCCTGCACGATTTTACAATTACCTGTCACATGTCCCAGATCTTCTCTGCCTGTTAACTCCAGTTTGCAGCACTTAGCGATTTATCACCGAGTATTCAGAGCAAGACGGAGCTCAGAATAGTAGTAATTAGGTTTTTCTTCTCTTCTTGTAAATCTGCTGTTTAAGCACTCTCTGTCAGAATGATGAATAACCAGTCCTGTCCACATCTCCTGAACAAACTGTATGTATTCACTGTTTGGTCTCCATGGATACTGTGACCCGGACAGATGTGAGATTTGCAACCAGTGATGCTCCACATCTGTTTTGAGAAAGTGGTCTGTGATGATTACACGGCTGCAGGAGCTTGTGGTGTTTGTGTTTGCTCCGGCACAACAGTGGCAACGTTTGAGTTGTTTTCTCCCCACTGACATGTTAATGTGAGGTCACACTCGCACGCTGCTGGAGGATAACATCGAGGCTCAGTCTCTTTTGTTGTAGTTTATGTGATGTATACGCTTTAAATTGGTTGGAATACAGATCACAGTGAGTACTTTATTGATGAAGTCA